CTGAAAATAAACAATAATCAGCTACGAAATTTTAAATAACGTAATGAAGAAAGCAAAATGAAGCGGGACGTTATGATGGATTTAACGTAATAGATGTCCACACGTTACTGTATGATAATCGGTTCATTATTATGCGCTCGATGATGGAGTCGTATTGCATTTCAGCAACGTTTGCTCGTCTCGTGGAATTTGTATCTACAAGTTGTAGAATATAACGCGCCTGGTTTTTCCAATAGACTCTTATAGACTTCATAAAAAGGAACAAAAGATCTTAACAAATGGATGCACAAAGGGTATCTATGATTACACCAATGATATAAAATTTTACAAATTGATTGTTTTTGTTTGTGCTGAAATTGGAAATGAAATTACTAGGTAGTATAATAAAAATGTATTAATTTTATAAATGCAATATGATCGGATTGAATAATGTTTTTATAAAAAAGGATAAATGTACCTCTTATATTTCTTTTCGTGTATTCTTTAAATAAATTAAGGTTAATTCTGTAATTAAACATAATGTAATCAGGATTATGAATTAGACGTAAAAAATGAAAAAGAGTAGAAAAAAGTAGAAAAAAAGATTTACCCGAATGTTTAATTTGTAATTAGCGACGCTACACATTTAACCGTAAATGGTGCGAAATTACTGTTACACAGCGGGAATAACCGTATAATGTTAGTAGGATGAAGCTCAAGACGAACCAAGAACGAAGCATCTAAGAAGCATTTCATTATACATATTTTTGTATCAGAATTTTACATTGCCCTATTTATATATTAACAAATAACAACATTAAAAAATATATATACATAAGAAATATTATTTAATCAATATTTCAACTCTATTTCCATGTCGAGTCGTGTTGTAATCGAATAAATTGGCTTTAACTGGTTTGATCTCGTAATCACTATTAAAAATCATTTCGAAGTATTAAAAAAAACATTACCAAGGTAAATCAGTTTGTAGTTCTTCTTCAAAAACCTTTGCCCTTCTTCAAATGAAAATCAACAATGAATCACGTTGTCACTTGACACACAAATACATTCGGATAATTTGCATCGTTGTTACGTTCGTGTTTCGCGGTAGCCGGTTTTCTTTATGGTGCAACAGGTGTCTCTTGCGGTCCTCGCGACCGCGCACCAGTTCGAGAGCCAGTTCCCTACTAAAAATGAATGTTGCGCGCTGACTGGCACCCAAAGAATGGTACCGTTCTATTCTGGCTATGTTCGCGATGCCGGCGCTACCGTACACTACTTCCACGGATTACAGCATACACTGGAAACCATGCAGTATTGGATTGGATCATTTCGAATACGCGCGAGTTTGTAAGTAATTCTAAATGTGACATTTTTTGACAGCTTTGTATGGGTACTTTATTATTTTGCACGATTGCGATGTAAGATTATCGAAAATATATCTTTATTTATTTAAATTCGTATATCAATTTGAACGTAACCTCTTGACACGTCACTTCACTAAGTATGTATTACTATTAAGTAGATCAGTTTCTGTTATATATTGACATAATAGTAGCCATGATAATTTCAGATTTGCGAACAACGTATTTATTTATATAGATCTATAATTCTATTATAAGCAATTTGCGAATCAGTTGTGGTGGGGGAGCTGAAATTAAATTCCGTGCCTCCATTTCGAGGTAGTAAGCGCGCCATCTGTTGAGGGGTTTTAACATTATCTAGCAAAAATATTGACTGTCACCGGACTAGACCTCGATCGATCTCTCACATTCCAGTTATCGCGCACCTGCAGTTATGGTGTAAATTGATAAGTTGTGTGCAATTTCCAATATCATTTTTAGCTAAATAAATACATTATCAATCTTAAAACTTGCATTCTGGTTAATTAGCAACAAGAAAGTGATTCATGTGATAGTCATCATTCAATTGCACCTGCATCAAAGAATGCAGATTTGTTACAAACCATACGTTATCGGCAATTTATGCCGGCATACTACAAGGAAATACATCACACGACAGAATACATTCACCGGTATCGAGGTTAACCAAATTTCACCGCTGTCAGAATCTTATCAAGTAAGTGAATCTTTAGAATTATCTTATATGTTAAGTGATATAAATTTTAATTATATAACCGACTATGATAATTACAATATTATTAGAAAAATACATTTAGCAATTCTAATTATATTTTCATCGAGATTATTTATTCATTACAGTTTATATATTATTCTTTCCAATAATTTCTTCTACCTGAAACCTAACCTCACAAAATTATCAATTTTTTGAACGTTGTAATATAACAAGAAGTTATTATTGTAGTAGATTATAGTCATTACTGTAATAGGAAAAATTTTATTTTTCGTTACATTAATTTCATATTCGGTAGGTTTTATTTATTTACGTCATTTGTACTACTTATATATGCTTCTTTTATCTTATATTTATTCATCAAAGCATTGACATGCTATTTCATTCATAAGATGTTAAGTAGAACGTTCTATTACATTGTTTAAAACTACTGAATAAATACATGAATTTTTATCCTTATATAATACAGAATATAATCTTTGTCTTTTTCGTGTTTCTGTTCATCTTTTTTTTTATCTGGAAATCCACTGAGCGGAAAATTAGTCTTAAAGGAAGTCATACCTTTCAACTTTGAATTACGTAAGAAATTCGTGTCTAAGAACATACGATTAAATGTAGAAAATTGAGTCAAGGTTTTCCGCGAAAACGAAGCATGTATATACGTTTATGTTTATATCTTAAAGCCAATGACCTGAAACAGTAGTTCTTATTGTTAGTTTAAAAATGAAGGAACATTCTCATTTTCTTAATATCCTTAATGCTAGAAGAAAGGGAAAGAACTATTATACGTTTTTACCGTACAAAAATTTCATATTATATTCCGAGTGTAAATATTTTAATTTGTATATATTAGTTTTTAAACAGTACTTGTTAATTTATTCATGTTAATGTTATTGCAATTAAATTGCGCTTATAAACCCGTAATAAACGTATTGCCATTTTATGTATTGCCATTTGTAATAAACGTAAACACTTAACGATCTGTAATAAAATTATATAATATTCGTTATATTCGTACGTAATGAAAACGTATAATATTCTAAAATTTTTTACGTATAAAGCAAAATTTCAGAAAATTTATATTTTTGGTGATACTTCGCCAGGGAAAACATAGAAAGGTAGGAAAATCAAGTTCCTAAAGTAACCTTCTCTCGACCTCACTCCATCAGGACACTCCATGCCATGCTGTGGCCGGTCAAATATGTACAACAAAACCTAATGACATTGGATTCCGCCTTCCGTTACTCTCGTTAAGTTTCTTTGTTCCTCCATATCTTTCCATGTTCGTCCATCTTCATACGAAAAGGCGTGTTCATGTTAGATTCTCGCTTTGAGTGGGGAACACGTTGTCGTTTAAACTGACGACAATAAATATAATTTATTGAAACGATTTAGTGCTGCAGTGATACCAGTGCCGTCTAACGTATGCAGTTTGTTTTTATCCATATATTATTTTCATCTCTTAACAAATATAAATCCATATTTCAGTTGCACAATTATAGAAATCATAATTAATAATTATAATATACCCTAACTATAATCATAATTATAGAAACAGAAGCTACTAACACGAAAATAAATTTATAGGGTTGTGTAGACTATTTTAATCTTGCTTACCGATGCCGTGATAAAGTTGAATCGTGGGTGGCGACGATAAAGAAAAAGCTGCTTCTCGCTCGAAGAAGAATACAGATAATTCTTTTGCATCTGTAAGTGATTTCTGGTAAGAAATTCTGAAGAACTATTGCTAATATATATTTGGAATCTGTACATTATATTGTATGCTGATTATTAATATGGAAACTCGTCAACGAGTTGGACATGATTTTTGTAAGTAATTCGCGAATTGACATTTTATTCTTTTACTTTTATCTATTGTATGAGATGAGCAAAAATCATATGAGTTACAGCGGATTGTATAATAAAAAAATTATGAATGGAATTTAGTTCATACTTGTATTAAAAATATTATGTATTCGTACTTCTGGAATTTTTTATCTTTAGAACTATGTATTTAAGTATTGAATATCTTCAATATTCGGAATTGTTCAAATTTAATGTTATGATTAGAACAAATGATAAAATTTATTTAAGTAAAACTCGAGTGGAATTTTTAGTGATTTATTTGAAGGTACAAGTTATATCTTCAAAGACAACAGTTACAAAAATTTGTCCTGTTATTTTTCCTTATCTTAGTGTTGACAAAACATTATATTGCTTGTTGCTGTTTGATTTAGTTTTCATTAAAAAAGTTGTTTACATCACTGGTCATATGTTTACTTAGAATTATTGATAATTATTAATGCTTATATTAATTTCCATTCTTACCTGATGTCAATGAACATCGTTATTGGCAATAGCTTCCATACTCCATAATTTCATTATATTTCACTGTAGTATAATTTTCTTCTGTAATTTATCCTTATACATAATTTTCCTATTTTATTACATATCAGTGTCACATGTTATGTATTCCTATTCGTTATCGTGTCCTTTTTTATATACCTTCATATCAAAATTTCTTGTGCTATGACATAAAATTCTGTTCAAAAAATTGAAATGTAAAACTGCCCAGATCTTGTCTATGCCGTTCCTGTATCTCGTAAAACAAACTCGTACACAAAACAACATACATAAACTCGACGATTTCCAGGTAATAACAGGATACCACGAATAGCCTATTGTGAACATGCGAACTCTGAATATAAGAACTTCTGATATTATGGATTCTTTTAATCTCAATAACACAAATAACAAATCAATCCGTAGTACCATTGAGAGTTCATAGAAATTCTGTAACGGATAGGCAACTTGCAAACAAGTGATGCTATTAATTGAAATTCTAGGCCAATCATGTTCCGAGGTGATGCACTTTACAACTCGATGTAGTTTATTGCGATTAATCTTTACGCGCACTACATTGTCGACTAATTAACTCCTTTAGCTATGGTATGAAAACATTTTGCTCTTGCGAAATATCTTCTTGTTTCATTTGTCTTAATTAATTCTTAATTCATTCACAATTTTAGTATAGATTTCATAAGCAATTGAATATAATATCTTCTGCTATAATGTAAATGCGAGTAATTTGTCTGAAAAATATTATCATTGCTATAATTAAGTCAATCTTAAATGTATGTAATGGGTTAAATATTTTTCCGCATCATTACCAAAATGCTTAAAACAAGTCAAGATCGTATTTTCGGCTTAAGGTATTCTTAAAGTAATCAATCTCTCAGTTGAAACTGCTTTAAATTACGATAAGTTAAACTTGCTTTTCTCCAACAGTCTGTTGTAAATCAAAGAATTTCGCAATAGAAGCTTTTGCTACAATTTGAAACAGGTCCCTCTAAGTAGGATATCTAAGTATTTAATAAAATGATTAAAAATAATCTAGGTAGTAAATATTATAATAAATCATCAATTATTTGCTATATAGTAATATAGAAAAGTGATTTGTTAATACGATCTAAAATTCGCGAGAATTCTTCAAGAAAATACCAATTTTTTTGAACCAATCATATTGGTTACAACTAGTAATCTCCCAACACATGATTAGGTTCCTAATACCGGTTAAAGCGAGGTCGCAAAATAAGTGAACGGTTTCCTCAAAGTGAGTTTTCACTGTAGGGATCAGTTTTTAAATAGACCAGTCAGTAGCAATGCAGCAAGTAGGCTAGGGGTGCCCTGACCATGACTGCGAACGACGCGTTTCTTCTCGATGGAAATGGCTATGTCCTGGATACTTGCCACAAGGAAAAGCCCATAAGTAAAATTATCTACCAACCAGGATCATTTTGCATCTCGGTTGAAAATTCTTGCACATCTGTAATTTCAGCGTGAGTCTTGATATTTCATACCGAAACTTTTTTAAATTTCTGTATCACTAGTTAGTTTTCTATTGTAACATACAATCGTTGTTAGTATGTCCTTTTATTATGAATTTTATGAATTTCAATAGTTACTAGATTAAAGGCGCCAAAATTACTTACAAACGGTTAACGAAACGATACGATACGTTTATTTTAGCAGTGGAATACTAGTTTATATTCTCATTCGTTCTTTGATGTAGACGAACAACGTAAACAGAACTGTTATTGTTATTGTTGTAAGATTGGACTCATGATTCTTTCGATTTAACCTTTGAATCGAGTATATACAATAAATCTTGAAATACCTTCACTGGACAATTATAGATTTAACTTTTATGAGAAACATAAAAGTCGTAGAATTCGTTTAAAGTGTGTTTAAATAAAATATGTTTAAAGTTTAAAATTTAAGAGGAAGGAAATAAGAATGAGTACCTCGAATTTATATTGCTGAATTGTAAATTCAGTTGATCTGACTTACCTACAGATGGCTCGAGTCATTCGGCGATCGTCGGTTTACTTCGGCTTTGGTCGTTAACTTTCGTTGATGCCATGTCGCGGCGTTCTTATTCAGTATACTGATGCCTTTCACCGAGGTTATTTGGTTATGTACGAAGTTTTTCATTATCCTAATGTTAGATTAAATATTGGTTTATTTTTTTCATATGTGTTTTTTTATCTGGTCCCATCTACTCATTTCTTTATAGTTTGTGAAAAGTGCAAAGAACGTTGATCTCTATGAATTCGCGCGTTAATCCACACACTCCTCCAAACGCCCCCAAAATGGTAAATACAATTGCACATTTACAATTGATCCATATATCTCTACTTTCTTAAAATACTAAATAATAATTAATTAGGCTAACCGATTTTTAATTGACATCTATACGTTTTCCTCTTTTTTTCAACTTAATTTATAATTTAATCTATATTAAGAAATTACTGTCAATTTTATGCCATTTCTTATATCTTATGTCGCAATAGTTCTTATATTACGTATTCACGGTTATATTATATTTATACGATACATTTTTATTTGATTAATATTTGTTTCATATTGTAAGCAATAATTAAACAGCAAGATAAATATTTTTATTTTCTTTTGGTATTCATAGCTAATAGGAACGTGCTGTCGCAAAGTTCCCGGCTATTTGTTAACCTCGTGCATAATAGGGTGATGTATCTGTTGAGCATATCAAACAAAGTTAATTATTTTTTACCAACAATGACAATAATTGTTTCTCAGCTGTTTTAATCGTAATTTAATTTCGTACATGAGCCGAAAGAGCAAGCTCTCTACGCATTCTACAGTCCCTGTATTTTTAGTGATATTGGCACGTATCTCTGAACTATATTAGTTGCAACATACTCAATGGCAAAGTAGATTATGGTTTTTTCTCTTTTATAAAAAAATGCCAATAGAAATATGTAAAATCGTATTTCAAATTATTTGTTGAAAAATTCGAATAAAAGAGCAGCTTTTTTTATTTTTAATTTAATGTAATTGTATGTATTTGATTTCTATACTGTTCTTGAAACATAATTACAAGGAATACATATAACATATGTAATACATACATATAACTGGAATAATATTTAACGAAAATTTTTATATTCTGATATACGTTTGTTCAAGATCCGCAATTTTTACTTCTTTACTTTGAACGTATACATAGTCTATCTAATGTATTCTTTTATCAGATGCAATTTGCGTCTTCCTTGGAAAATTGGTTTTTAATTGCCGCTTTATATCGTGCTCCTACGTATCAGTAGAATAACTGTTGCTGACGATTAATTATCGCTATACTATATTTTTCAGTTAAATATAACATGGTTCAAATATTCTTGTAATACTTCATCAATGAAATTATCTTTTAATATTTATGAACTGAAGCATTCTTAGAATTTGCTCTCAGCTTGTTTATATTTCGGGAAAGAAAAGAGCAAAAAGAAACCATCGAAGTGCTTTGAAAAGAAAATCTTCGCTGAATGTTTATCTTCGATCAGCCTTCAACAATTTTTTTTTTCTTTGACATACTATCAAGCTCGAGTTAGCAGGAATAGTTATGCGAAAAAACTAGTTTGAGATGCAAATTATTATCGCACTGTGAAACTCGTTAAAATAAGTTACGCTTTATCATTATTTATTATGCTATATAATTTTTAATTTCTACGTTTCATCGAATTCAAATATAACGAAATGCGATTAATCGATATGAAGATTCAGTTACTAACGATACCGATTTTCGATAAAAATATCGATAACTATTAATAGCGTTGATGAATAAACCTCTTTCTCCTTTTTATTTTTGATATATAATTTTAACCTTTTAACTTTTATTTTTATCTTGATCGTCATTTATCTCTTCGTATATCTATATATTTTTAACCGTAATATAGTTAATAATATCACCGAGTTCGATAACCTATCTTAGCAAAAATACAAACTATAGAATCGTTTTAAAGAAACGAAGATTGTTTCCATAATCGCGTTTCCACGTGGTATTTCGAATGAAAAAGATTGCGGGAAACATATCATTTATGTAATGGCGCGTAAATGAAAGGGAACATTGAGCGTGCAGCACATCCATTATTCGATTACTATCAACGAGCATAAAACGATATTCAGAACACTGTAAAATAAAATCTCGTATTTTCTTTACCTTTTTCTGCATTTTTTCTCTCTTTTTCTTGTATTTACACGTATCACGTGTATTTCATTTTGTGTACAGACCTATTTGAACGCGGACGAAAAGTTTTTTCCATTGAAATCTTTATTGACTTATTATCTGTGAAGGTTATGCATGATATGTCTGATGGAATTCAATATATAAATAATTACATCTATAATACGAAATGTTAGAATAAAAGTTAAGAAGATTGAATTATATATTACAAGTTATCAAATACAGCGACTTCAATCGAAAGTAATTTCTTTGTATATTTTCTTTTTTTGAAAACACGCCATTAACCACGTTGGGGCATTAACAATGCTTAACACTAACCTACCATAGCATAAATGGCCGCTTTCAGATATTTAATTAAAAATTCTGCGCTCAACCTTATCGCTTTTGTCACTTGGCTTCTCGATTTTTCATTTAATATAAATATTATAAATTTTCTAATATCTTCATTTGTTCTATTTTCTTCGAAGTTTTTCTTCTTTTATTTTTCTATCTATCGGCTATTTGACCGGTAGTGATAGGTTCGATGTTAACATGGAATATATTCAAGCGAGGATAGAATGATTCTTAATTAACACGATTTCTCACTAGGTTCATTAATACCAAAACACTGACACGTAATTATGTGTGAATATACATCATATAATTGGATTAACCCATATAATATACATAAACTGTAAATACAATGTAGTTTAATATACATAGTAATATACAATAATGCACAAAATAAATATAATGTATTTAAATAAGTAATTAAAGTAGTATACTAAGAATAACAAACATATACATAATTACGTTTCTACCTGAAAGAAAAAGATTAATATTAACTTTACCAACAGGAGCTGCATATTTTCAATAACTGAAAGAAATAAGAAATCTAATCTAAGTCATTATGATCTTTATGTTTGTAGGAGTTCTCTCGTTAACCACTTGTACTACAATAACAAGTGCAACTCAGCGTGAGTTTTTCATGCTAAACCCTATAAAAGCGGATTACACATGTATTAGACTAAAATTGTATTTAACGTATTTCAACGTACGCAAAATTTGTCTAATTTTATTGTAAATAAAATAGATATATAGTGGCTAATTGAAATAAAATAATTTTATAATACACAGTTTCTCGTAATTAAATCACAGTGCAACGGGTTAACACATGTTTAAAGTTATGTTTTCTGTCTCGGCCATGCGGTAAAAATTCTTTTGTTTATAATTTATATAATACGATAAGAGACACAGTCGCTTACTGACACATACGCTGTCACGGACTCGTATATGTAGGTTAACATTGGTGCAATGGTACCGCAAATCTTTCGTGAATATCGCGAATAAACGAAGATCGTGCGGGAATATATGTATGGAGAAAAGTTGTTCAAAATCTCGTTCGTTATATTTGAAAATCGTCGAAATCGACGAAGCAACCACTGATCTTAATAATTGTCTCTAAAAAAAACCATACATCGACTTCGAAAGTTCACGAGAATTATCGTATTAAGTGTTTTTTCTTTTTGTCTCACAGCGTTTATCAGAACTACGAAAGAATCTTGCCTGATGTCCAAATGGTCGACGAGTACTGGACACAATTCAGTGTTTTGCGCGGAGGACGGACCGGTACTCCCCTCCTCGCACTTACCGATCCACGTACACGTGGCGAGCACACATCTGCGCAACGCTGACGGCCACTGCTTCCATAAGCGGTTCCACGACTGTCAGGTCGGTAATTCTCCCCTTGCCTCTTTAATCTTACAGCTTGTTTCCTTTTTATCTCTTTGCGTGTCACGCTAAATGTTATACCGTTGTCTCGTTGTCTTTTCACGTTACGCATATACATTCATGTTCAATACACGCTTCTGCCAGTGGTGATTAATTTCTTTATTTATGTTTTGAATTACTGAGATGGTATTCGCTCGCATCTGCACGATGGTGCATGCTTTGTCATCTTGTTTCTTACTTGATACTATGTACAAATAAAAGTAGAGGATCTTATCATTGAAACATAAATATTGATACTCCCCTGTTATACCGTCCAGGACACGTTATATATTTTGCATAATGTGTTCCATGTAACAAGGAAGTAATACAGTTAGATTCGTATTAGTAAATAATTAGAAAGAATAACAAATAGAATTATGGAAAAGATATAAAATTATTTAAAGATTGTAATATTAAATGTAGAACGTGCTTCTGTTTGTGAATAGTGTTGGTATTATACAGTTATGTATATAAATCATAAACGTTTAGTTTGTAAGATTGCTGAATGAGATTTATAAATTTATACCATTTAGGAACTGTTGGATCAAACTACATTGAAATAAGAATAATTTCGTGCTTTATAAAAATATTATATATTGGTTATTTTATGCGTGTTTGCCCCTCGATTAAGTTTCAGGGCAGTAGGGATCAATTTATTTGTTCTTTGTTTTTCTTTTTTTTTTTGGTAAATCATGATCCACGTATTATTATTTAAAATTCATTTCGTTGAAAATTTATGATCTAGAAATTGTAAAGTAAAGTAAATTGAAATTTATGAAAATCGTGGATAATCGCTACCCAGAAGAAACATATGATACTAATCGACAAAAACAGAAAATTGGATATTATCTAACTTTCGCAGAACTCTTGTATATACTCATAAAATCAATCGGAATTCCTTAAATTATACTATTATCACTTCTATTAATAATAGAGATTGATGTCCAATAATTATATCAACAAAGTAAACGACGCGGAATAAATACCACGCGCTCGTGCGAGCATCGCACACACACACGCACGCACAATGGATATAATATATTGCGCATAAATCAATGCTCACAACAATTAATTTATTACGCATGATTTGCATACGATTAACTATAATCTAAAATAATAATTTCATTTTATTTGTTTAAATATAACAAGAATTATATAGTTGATTGAAAGACATTTACCCTTTCCTTCTTCAAAGTTAATTTATTACAAATGAAAAATTCGATTCTATAAGAATTCATCAATATTTACGTTATCGATTATTGAGAAAATTTGATTACCTCTTCGTTGATTTATTAAGTAATATGGTACTTGTCTGTGCTGTTCTACGCTTGCCAGATTTCCCGCAGACTCATCAATCTATCAATAGTTCACTTTTCTTTCTTATGTTGTACCTAAGTTTTTCATTAATTTTTCTTGTTATTTGTTTCGTTCAGCACCCGTTGGTTTTTTGTCCTACACGGGACTTTTGGCAAGTTCTCCCGTTGGCACCGACGTTGCCATCTACTTTCGGTACGTCTTTCTTTCTTACGTGCTTGTATAGTTGAGCGCCAATTATTCGAACACTGGATGGGCAATTTTCCCTGGATTATGTCTGGATGTGTAATTTTCTCAGATACATTTTTACAATAATTTTTACAAAGTGTCCATATAGACATTTATTACAATTTTGAAATGCTGTTTGAAATACAGTATTTCGAAATAATGTTTCAAAATAGCAAATATAGTTAGGATACTTGCGTGTAAGTTCTGTCGTGATTAAAATTTAAAAATAATTCATTCTAACACAGATTTTCTACAAATCTAAATATTTGCTGAAATATTTTCAAAAATTTTGCAAATATGACATTGATATTTTATGACATTTTCGGTTAAGCATATAAAATGTTTGAACTTTGTCGATTTAGATATTTTTCTTCGAAAATTAGTAAGTCGATAGTAATGCAATATGTATGAATATTAATTTTTGTCATTATGTCTTATTATTTATCTACTCTAATTTGTCATCGTGTTAAAAATTGTTTTATAGATTAATGTAGTAATATTGCATTCATTGATAATGTAAATAAGTGAAGTCTCAATTGAATCGTATAATTGGTTATTGTGCTTGCAGGGGGCTTGTAGCATTGTCACGAGTTAGCGTATTATTCTCAATTAAACATATTATACAACCAATCGTTTCCATTCATTTTTATGTTATAAATTTCACATTTATAATTCCTCTGTATTGTTTCTTTTTCTTTTTTCAACTAGTCAAAGATGTCACAGTCGGGGGATGGCCTTCACACACCGGGTTATCTTTCTTGGAGAAAACTGCAGCTCAGCCGAGCAAAACTTAAAGCATCAAGTAAAACGTCTGCCCTACTTTCCGGTTTCGCCATGGTACTTAGCTGATCATTCTGATAAATTTCTTTTTCGATAGTTTGGAATACTTGTAAAACATAACTTACCACAGTAATAATAACAATCTATTGGAACAATAGAGTTCCTAAGAAATTTCTTGTATAGTATTAGTAATTCGTTCCCATTCTTAAGAATAGTTAATCTAGCAAATTCACATTGGATTTTATAATGCTAACCGAAACAAAGTAGAAGTTTTCTAGGCTATAATTTATCCAAAATCAATTGACCGTTCAAGACCAAGAAAAAATAACCCCATCATATCATACGGACAGTCATCTATTATTTTATTTCTTACTTACTGCATTCTAATATTAATAATATTTCTTGAAATATAGGTGCAATAGAATCATCAGTCCTTACTTTTAGATTTATATAACTTAGAATATACGTATTTTAGTATTAACCCTTTGCACTCGACGATTTTTTGGCTAGAGAATAGTAGAAATTCAAAGATTCTCTACTAAAAACTGACAATACTTTTTCGAGCAATAAATAAAGAATTGTATAATAATAGAATTGTAGAATTATTTGATTTCGATACCTCGCACACTGTTACATTACATTAAATTTAATATATTAATTAATATCGATCTTCCAAATTTTATGAAATGGTGACTGTAGCTCACCTCTCGAGTGCAAAGGGTTAATAGTCATAGTAGAATTTAATTATTCTAATTATTAATGAGAAAAATTCTCTCTACAAAAATCGTATAAAATTATTTTCAAATACAGATTATATATAACCATAAAAGGTAATTAATTACTTTAGGTTTAATTTGTTTACATAAATTACAATCCTACTATTAAATATTATATATTCAAATATATTAATAAATACATTTTCTGTCATAGGTAGCCATGGTGGAAGTACAATTAAACTCCGATACAAAAGTACCTAAAGAAATGTTAATCGCCTTTGCTGTGTGTACTACATTGCTAGTCGCAGTTCACATGTTAGCCCTAATGATTTCAACGTGTATTTTACCGAATATAGAAGCTGTTTGTAACTTACATAGCATAAGCTTAGTACACGAATCGCCACACGAACGTTTACACTGGTACATTGAAGTAGCGTGGGCGTTTTCCACTCTGTTAGGACTTTTATTGTTCCTATTGGAAATTGCTATACTTTGTTGGGTGAAGTTTTACGACTTTTCAAAAGTCGCTGCTTGGTCCGCTTGTATCGTATTAATACCAGTACTAATAATCTTCCTTGCGTTTGCAATACATTTTTATCGAAGCTTAGTGGCTCACAAATACGAGGTCACAGTGTCTGGTATAAGGGAACTGGAGTTACTTAAGGAACAAATAGAATCGACCGATGTTGAAGGTAGGAATGGTGTAAATTTGCTACAAACCGCTGGTATGACACATGTAGTCTGAACATAATAAAGTACGATTCACGATCTGTATTACTTTTAAAATGTGATAACCTTTAATGGTGGTAGTGGTGAATCTTTGATGATCTGTTCAGATTGCGATATAAAATTTATACAAGTTGTATATATTAAAGCAGTCCAAACAAAAGATTAAAACAGGTTGAGAATATTAAAAAAAGAAAAAGAACTGTACTGAAATTACCAGACTTATTGTTCTATATGTACAATCTATGTTATAGATCCCAATAGTAAGTTACATGGAAGAAAATTGGATCTTTTTTGTTCTTTCTAACATATATCTATGGGTAATAAATGTGGAAAGAAATGCCTATTTTCTTTAACAAGTGATATAGTATATTGTTCTTCATAGTTATTCATATCACAAGGGATTTATACACTTACTGAAAACGTTTAATGAAATTGTATGTATAGACGTGAAACATTCCCTTTCTTGTATAGCGACTTAACTTATAAAAGTAATAATACACGATGAAACCTATCATATACTATATCCTTAACTGTGGCTTAAGAAGCAACAGTTGCGAATAAAGGTTATTATTTTTCATGGACAATGCGTGATTACCTCATATAAAATGTACTTATTATCATATTTAAAATGTCTTTCGAGCAGTATTATTAATAATTCTTTCCGTTTCATTCATATATTTGTTACTCACATAATGCATCTTATGCTCAAGTGACATTTTAAGTTTTTTTACGCAAAGGCAAAATAATTTTCTATTTTATTGCTTCTTTCATATTTGTCTTTGATCATCAAGTTACTGCCGTCGTTCTAAAAACAATAGTTAAACTGTACATAGCTTTTTCTGCGAACAAACGATTTATATGTATATACATATTTCGATAAAGAGATATATGCAAAATTAAAGTACTTTTTCTAAAATAAATATTCTAAAATAAAAGTTCGATATATTTTGTATCTGTTACTTTACAGTATAAGAATACATATTTATAAAACAGGATTTAAACAAGGACACGTGTTTATAGACACGCATATATTCGCGATTGTACGCTTTGGTATTTTTTTACAAAAACGTTCAGTCGAAATTAATTTATTCGTTCGATTATCTTCAACAATTTTACAAATATCCTGAGAATCCTTAATATGCATCATCAATTCCATCTACAAATCAGCAAGAATTATTATAAACAAATAAAAATTATAAAGACTCATAATTATTATTTACTTTTGGAATAGGATATGGTGTTGGACAAAGTGCAAATTGCCGAAAATCAGCATCTGATATGGTACCATTTATAAATAAATCGCTTGTCCAAAGACCACGTTGCTCTTGACCGCTAACTATGTGATAAAATGTGCCGTAACCCTCTTTCTTTCCCTTGAAGAACTGACCCTCATATCTATTACTGTTATCTATAAAATATTCGAGCGTTCCCGTCAATTTTAATTTCTGTATCAGAAAGCAATATAAGAAACATCGTCTATATCTTTTGTAAATCTTACTAAGAACAAATGTAAATAGAACAGATAATATCAATTTGATAACCTTTAACAAGCATTCCTATGCCGTGGTAAAAATCATTTTTCCAAGCACCTTCATAATAATCTCCGTTACAATACCACATATAACCATAACCATGTCGTTTATTTAGGCAAAAATTACCTTCATAGTAACTACCATCTTCGAACCAATTATGTCCATATCCTTGTTTTTTCCCATCCACCCACTCACCGATATAATATTGACAGACAGTATGACCTTCCTTTGAAATTTTACTTAAAATACCGTAACCATGTTTTTTACCTCTGAACCAATTACCATCGTACGTCCACCCTGCTCTATAAAATTTTAAATTAAATTGAAATTATTTTTGAACATCACTTTTGTATATCAAAAATATCAAAAGGTGTTGCACAAATAAAAATAAATATTACAAATGTCTATCGTTATTAAAGCAGCAAAATAATTATTTTAATATATTAATATACCTATTCAACTCTTTACCCCTGCCTTCTTTTACATCGTGTTTCCATTCACCTATATAACTTTTAGAAAAACGTTTGTCTTGAGGACTAAAAATGGTGTGCCGTAAACCATTTCTTTTCGAATTTTCTATTTTACGATTAGTATATGAAATTTTAATGTGTTTTAGAAAAGGCATCATAGCACATATTAAAAATTTTTTCTCAACATTGAAAACAATTTTTTGACATTCATGTTAAACGTTAAAATGGTTAACATTCCACTTTGAAGTATAATTCGTCTTTCTTTTTTCACAGTAACATTTTATAGTACCTAAACAAACGAATGCAATGAAAATATACAACAAAAATTTGATCCGTTAATCACTAAATAATTATTAGAAATGTAAGAATAATTTACAAAATATCAAATGAATTTTTCATTATATCTGAAGTTACACAAAATTAAACTACCCGTAGCACCTACTAAAGAAAAAAACTTATTTCGTAATAAAAAAAGTATATACATAATGTATGATAATTAACAATTTTAATGTGTATAAATAGAATATCTCCTTTATTAAGACAGATAAAAAAGTATCTAGTATTATTAAAAATGTACAAATATCTACGATTGTTATCTGAAATTCGCTACAACATTTATATTTTTAAATTCATATTTCAAATTATTGTATACAAAGTATTCATGAGGAACAAAATTAGTAAAAAATAAATATAAATTAATAGTACTCATTAATAAAAGCCAAAAAAATCTAGGCTACGTTACCTGCATACGAATTAGAGCGCCCCTACAGTTAAGTTTTATTACGTTCGGAATACTTGATAAGATTGAAGAG